TTTGTTTAGAGACTTGAAAGGGCCTCTTAATATTTTCAGTTTAGGTTGAAGGACCTCTCAAAAAAGTCAGATGGAACCAGAGGTGAACTGACTACTTGGGAACTCGGGTACTGCCCGAGGGCCCGGGGTCAGTAGGGGGTCCCCATGAAATGCCCCTGGTACCTTTTTATAGGCTTTTTTGGGTGTGGTTTGAGTGTGGGCAAGGATATAGGGGCCCCATGATCCCCTATTGCCCAGGGGCCCCATGAGTTGTCAGTCCACCCCTGGATGCAACAAAGACTTAAAGTGGCCAAACCTTCTGGATTTCTTTATATTTTATTCATGGCTCTCTGTAAATTTTAGCAGTTTTATACACACCCTGATGAACATGGTAGTTTTTTTTTTCTTAGAATGTGGCTTAGTGGGCTCTATAGTTTGTGTTGACTGTTTTTTATTGGTTTATTTCATAGTTGGGAGCAGCGTGTAGATCAACACGGGCGTGTTTATTTTGTGGACCATGTTGCAAAAAGAACCACATGGGATCGACCAGAGCCTCTTCCACCTGGGTAAATGTCTGCATATATCAAGTATTATTTCTATAGGAACAAATAAATGCCATTTTAAAGTTGTTCTTTTTTTGTTCATTTAGTAGTCATGCAACCCCATGGTCTGTCTGCTTATTATACTTGTTAATTTAAAAAAAAATCCGTTTTAATATTACCCTGGTGATATAATTTGATCCAGCTATAGCAGTGACTTAGGGCATGTTGATAAAACACAGAATTTTTTGAATTTTAAACTTAACCTGTGGGTTACTAGAAGTTTCTAAGTTGCTGCAGACCATGATGGAAAGCACATTCAGATGCAAGCACCTCTATCAGGCTTCTTTCCAGTATGCCTCAGAACCTAAAATGCCACAGTGTTCTATAAAGGGACTCTGTGCAGGCACCTAGAGGTGTACATACATGAAGCAGCCTCCAAGACCTTCCTGATATTGTAGGAGCTTGCCCCTAAGCCCTACACACACATATTCTGATTGGCCAATCTCTGTGGTGTGCAGCCCCAATAACTACTAAGACTGTGCATGAAATAGAAAGGGGCGGTCAAACTCCTTCACTATCAGGAAGTGTCACAACTTGGCCTGGTTTAAGATTCAGCCATAACAGGAAGGATGGAAGGCTGCTGCAGGTATAGCCCCAGTGGACGAACTAGAAAAACCAAAGAATGTACCTTGGTTTATGAATGCCTCGGACAACTTAATTTTTCAGTTTACAAATGAAAATGCATTGAATAGAATGCCTTGATTTACAAATTTTTTACGCAATACAAAGAGTATGACGGTGCTGATTTTTAAATGCAATTGCCGGGGTTTTTTTTTTTTTCTTTCTTTACTATAGCTCACAAGATTAGCTGTCACTTTCCCCAGAGTTGCAGGAAACTTTGTTTCTTTTAAGAAACTAAAAGGAATCATTGTTTCTTTTAACTTTGGAAAATAAACTAAAAGAAAACTTTCTTTGAGCGGGAAGGGGGGGGGGGGTGACAGCTGAATTTCTGAGCTATAATGAAGGAAATAAAAAGCAGTAATTACATTTACAAACCAGCACCATAATAAAAAACACGGCGTGGGGTTCCCCTCCCATCCATACAAAGCCCTTCGGGTTTGGTATGGATTTTGAGGGGCACGGTCATGCCATAGTTAAAAAAAAAAAAAAAAAAAAAAAAAAAAAAAAATGGGCGATGGTGTTTCTCTCAAAATCCATACCAAACCTTTATTCGAGCATGCAGCCCAGGGGACATTCTTTTAGGTCATATGACCTGGTGTGGTTCAAGGGGGGTCCGGGGTGGTGCTTGCTCGTCGTTTACCCCCCACCCCCATTACCTGACATGCTGGGCTGCATGCTTGGATAAGGATCTGGTATGGATTTTGGGGGGACCCCCATGCCATTTTTGAGGGAGTTCCCCTCAAAATCCATACCAGACCCGAAGGGTCAATTCTTTTACATTCAGCTGTCAGTGGGGAACCCCGCTGACAGCTGAAACATTAACACATGGTTGTCACTACTAAAAATACTGCATGACTTAATGAAATAACTCGTGGTATTTTAGTAGCATTTACTTTTTTTCTGTCCTCCGGAACGGATTAATTGGTTTTCAATGCATTCCTATGGGAAGCGGTGTTTCGGTTTACAAATTTTTTGATATACAAAAAGTCCTGCAGAACGAATTACATTCATAAATCGAGGTATTTTTGTAGTTGTAATATAGCAAATTAAGAAAATATAACATTTTATGTATGATGTTGTTGGCTTACATGTGCAACAAACTTTTATATCTAGGTGGGAGCGCCGTGTAGACCAAATGGGTCGGATCTACTATGTTGACCACATCACACGGACTACCACGTGGCAGAGACCTACTATCGAATCTGTTCGCAACTACGAACAGTGGCAGCTTCAACGAAACCAACTGCAGGGAGCAATGCAGCAGTTTAATCAACGTTTCATTTATGGGGTGAGCACTATAGCTGAATTAACCGTAGAAGGGACATTGTTGCTTTGATATCATATTGTAATCGTCTCTTCACTACTTACAAGAGAGCTCTATTTTTGTTTTAGAACCAGGATTACCAAGGACAGAACAAGGAGTATGACCCACTGGGGCCATTACCTGTTGGATGGGGTAAATGTCCCTTTTAGTTCTGTATATAAAGGATCTCATTTATAAACATATATGGCTTTTTACCTTCTTGTGTCTTGTCTTTCATCGTTCTAGAAAAGAGAACTGATGCCAATGGCAGGGTATATTTTGTCAATCACACAACGCGGACGACTCAGTGGGAGGACCCAAGGAATCAGGGGTAAGTCCATGACACCCAAAGAGAAGATGCTTTTTTAACCACTTCCTGTCCGGACACTTTTACCCCCTTTCTGACCAGGGCAATTTTTAGCTTTCAGCGCTATTACACTTTGAATGACAATTGCGCGGTCATGCAACACTGTACCCATATGAATTTTTTACAGTTTTTTTGAGACAGATAAAGCTTTATTTTGGTGGTATTTATTCACCGCTGGGATTTTTATTTTTTTTACTATGTAAATGAAAAAGTCCAAAAATTTTGAAAAGTGTTTTTTTAAATAAAATTTTGCAAATAAATAATATTTCATCATAAATCTTGGCCAAAATTTATTCCGTTATTTTTTTAGTAAAAAAAAAAATCCAAATTAGTTTATAACCAAAAATTATAATTTTTAAACTTTTTTTTTTACATTTTTATTTTATTTTTTTATATTATTTATTTATTTATTTATTTTTTTTTACATACTGTCACCCTAGCAGTACAGTGTCACCATGGTGACACTGTACTACTTGTCGGGGGTGATGAAGATTTTTTTTTTACACTGATTGCTGTTTACACCCATATAGGATGTAAAAGCAATCCTTTCTCTTTCTCTCTGTCTGCATTCTTGCAGTCATTGAGAATTACTGAGTCAGCTGTGAGTGGTCACAGCTTGTCACATGGTACAAGGCTGTTGTGAATAGTCTTGTACCATGTGACCTCTGTGATCATTCACAGATTTCACAGGTAGTAAGCAATGATGTCACAAGTGACATCTTGCTTACTACTTTGCATGTGATCACTGATTGGCCAATCAGTGATCGCATGATCGGGACCTCGTACAGAGGTCCCGTCCAACGATCGGTGTTTCACTGTGTCCGGAGGACACAGCGGGCACCGGATCGCGGTGGTGCGCTTCCCAGGGAGCGCGCACAGCTAGAAAAGGCGGGTGCCGTTTATGAACGGCAACCCGCCCCTGGACTGCCACCGTCCTGCCGTTTATAAACAGCAGGCGGACGGCAAGAGGTTAATCTAAACAGGAAATGCAGCCAAAGACAAATGGAGGCAGCAGCTTTGAGGAAAATTAAAGTACACACATCAGGAGAGATTTTTATAGGCAGCCATTGCTAAACCTTTTCTATTCATATTAGTTGCCTGGCTGTCATGCTTTTGCTCTGGCTTCAAATCTATTAGTATTTAGTCACATTCATCTGGACTTGTTCTGTAGCTTTGAAGGTGTTTTGCAGCTTATCCAAGCAGTATCATCAATTCTGAAGAAGCTGCTTGTAAAGCTTTATGAATTGAGTTGTTGCTTTTAAGTGTTTCTTAAACCAAAACTTTTTTTGATGGTGTAAAGAATGGCTAGAACTCCTTTTTTGTTTTGTTTTTTTATACTGCCTGTGTCTCCGCTGGGGTAATTCATCATCTCTATTTGTCCTAGTGACCTTTTATTGCTGGGTTTAAAGGTGAGAGAAGAGTTGTCATTAAAACAAGAATAGAATGTCCTGCAGTTGAGGTGAGGCACCTGTTCGGGTGACAACTGACTAGAAGGCACTTAGAAAAAGGTTCCTACTCCTCATATTCTGGCACAGGTAGATAAAGGAAATGGGACATACAGAAGAGGTTTTAACCATTACCTCTTTTGAAAAAAAAAAACCCTTTAAAAGTTAAAATGTTTTTGTTTTTTTGTTTTTTGGGGGACTTTACACCAATACCATCTTCCATACCAGATAATTTTTCCAATTTTATCCCAGCAGGTTATTGTTAGGAATAAATTGTAAATACGTAGAAAATAAATTACAGGAAATTGCATTTGTTTCAAATGCAGGATGTAGGTAATTTGCAATTTTTTTGTAAGGTTGTGGAATTATGAAGGTCAAAGTGAACATATACACACTGCAACACACGCAGCTCTGCCTGATCCTCTGTATGGACACGAAGTTCTGTGACATCAACTTCCCTTCCGATGTAAAAACAAAATGGCACTGGCACACAAGGGTATTAAAAAAAGGGGGAAAAAATATATTGTTTTTTAAAATTGATATAAAATGAGCATACTGATTTCTGTCTTTCAGGCAGCTGAATGAAAAACCATTACCAGAGGGCTGGGAGATGAGATTTACAGTGGATGGTGTCCCCTATTTTGTAGATCACAATCGAAGAACCACCACATACATTGATCCCAGGACTGGAAAGTCTGCACTGTGAGTATAAGATGGAGAATTCATACCAGGGCTAGGTAAAGTGCCTCTGAACCCAAGAACAAAAATATAAAAAATAATGCAATATGCCAGTGCTTAGATGTGGTAGTTGCATTTGGTTTTTTTTTTTTTTTTCTCAGTCTAGGACGGACAAATACTGCTTTTGCATAGATACAGTACGTAAGCATTGTCACCCTAGTACTGGATGTGTGATGCACTTTAATAATGAATTCATGTTCTTTGAATGCTACAACCTACATTACTCACAGAAGTATGTTAAAGTATTCACATGCACATTCCAATCTACCTCCTCAGTTATCCCCTACTGTTATTTTTTTAAATTGTAAAAGTCATTTGAATGTTGGGGTTTACTATATCCATTCTAACCTTCTCTTTTTATCTATGCAGGGATAACGGGCCGCAGATCGCATATGTGCGAGATTTTAAGGCAAAGGTTCAATACTTCCGGTTTTGGTGTCAGGTAAGTACACCCACCCATCAATGAATCCATGGCTTCAATGATATGTTCAAACACATACTTTATCAAAATTATGTGGATAACCTCTGCCATTATAGGTCATTTTATGCAGTGGAAGTGCAGTGCTTTATTAGTTTTTTTTCAACTTTAACATTAGAGGGTTCTATGTATTTCCAATGCAAAGCAATTCCATTTTGACATAGAAAAAAGGAGGTGTAAAAATACTTTAAAGCCTAACTCGTTGGTGACCCAGCAACTTTAAAATGCTGGTCCTGGTGTGGAGCCTGCAGTGTTTTGCAAAGTTCTCTCTACTTTAGTACAGTGGAGAGAAATTATATGATTGGAGAAGATGCTGATCACATGACTTGAACATTTTAATTGCTCAATGCACATTTGCAAATCTCACCACTGTGCTTTAGGCCTTAAGTACACTAAGCATTAGGCTTCAGTGTTTGAAACTTCGGTATTTTGATCTGCTGTAGCCTGTTGCATTATGAGAGGTTGAAAGCTGCTGTGGCTGGACTGGTGCACAAAGCTGGTACTATAGTATAACTAAAGGCAAAATTTTTTTTTTTTTTTTTTTTTTTTTTGAATGCTTGTCTGTTTTTATTGCTGTCTCTGCCTCCTTTAGGGAGATTCGCCCTATTTATCCTGGTTACTATTATCATGGAAAGTAAAAGAAAATCCCACATTTTGGGTTGTCCCCAGAAAAGTAATAGAAGGGAAATCTTCTAATGGGGACACTAGTGCTGGTGACCTGGGGGTCCCTAAGGAATTCCCTTAATTTGCAGGAATTTGCTCTTCCTGTATTTCTATGGGAAAGAGAGTGAATGGAAATATCTGCAATGGGATACAGGTGGATAAAAAAAAAAAATCTTACTGGAGTTATAACCCTCCCTTAATCTATCCAAAATGAAAAAAAAAATGTTTTGCCTGTAGTTCTACTTAACATTTAGTGCATAATGCACACAGGGAGGAATGCTCAGGTCAGGATGCAGACTGCTTATAGAGCCCATAAAGTTTAAAGGGGCTGCAGCATGGCTGGATGGTGTATCTGTGTCTGCCTGCACTTAAATGTTGGCTCAGGAGTCTCATGCATCAGAGCTAAACACCCAATGTGCATGAAAGCTTATAGATGTGCATTTTTGTTTTGTTTTTTGTGTATGTTTTTTAAATCAGTGGTTTGATTGTGACCATATCATTGCTTTATGAGTGTACCCCTTAGTGTTAGATACCTTTTAAACCTCAGACTCATTGTGATATTCCAAGTTCAAATGCAATTATATACTATATAAGTCACAATATAGCAAATCTTGATTCACTGAATGTTCTGTTACAGAAATCTCATTTTAATGTATCCATTATTTTTTTAGCAACTGTACATGCCGCAGCATGTCAAGATCACGGTCAATAGGAAAACTTTGTTTGAGGATTCTTTTTCAGCAGGTATGTGATCACTTGTTTCACTTTTGTTTTTTTTTTTTTTTCTCATTACTTTAAAAATGTTAGCACTTTTTTGAGGGGTAATATCACCAATGTATTGAAGCAGTCTTAAAGAACAACTTCACCTATAGTGAAATTCTTTTACTACAGCTCTGCAGGCAGCCTGGCACTTGCCTTCAACCATGATCTTACCTCTGACATGGACCCAATCCCACTTTAATCTTCCCTATTGATTTAAAAGGGTGAACCATACTCTGAGTGGCCACTGGAGTCTGCCATGAGTTTGGGTACTCAGGCATTTATTGCAGAAGAGACATAGGAGGGGATTCAATAAAGCTTCTGCGCCACTTTTCTGACATGAATCCCTTTTGTTAATGTATTGTGCCAAATTTATGAAGCATTTGAGACACGTTTGGTTCTAACAGCCACTCATGCAGTAAATTTAGTTAACTTCAAAATGTGTCACTTTTACATTGTAAGTGTACAATCCAAACACATACGTTCCTGTGTTAAAAGTGGCTGTGTGTATAAGTGGGAGCTGCAGCGACCGTCGGCTGGAACCGAACAGAATCAGCAAGTGAGAATGTTTCCAGCACAACGAGGATCACAAATATGGGTCTAAAAGTTTTAATGAACAATCACATAGTTACAGCAAGGCAATGTTTCAGAGTTTCGCAGGACCCCTTCATCAGGCATTTGTCGCATTGAATGTGCTAAACGCCAAAAGCCCAACTCTCTTTTGGCGTACAAAGAGAAAAACTGTCTCAGACACAGTTCAAGTACAAATTCAAATACAAGTTCCAGACAGGTACATGAATTTGGCGCATTCCTCACCACTTTTAGAATGCATGAGAGAGACTGCTTTAAAATCTGCCTGCACCAGTCTTTATGGTTTCTAGGGATTGTAGGCCTCCTTTGTGATACTAAGGCTTTTTTTTTTTGGAGGGGAAGAGTTAACATTTCTGCCAGGTTTTTATCTCTAACTGTGGTTCCATTAAATAGTTTCCCTCACTTCTTATTCCTGTGGTACTGGTACAAGGTCAGGAAGGCACAGACAAAAAATTAACCTGTTCCCAGTCTAAAAATGTGTTTTTTTGCCTGTGCAATTTCCTATAATTTCTTGTCCAGACAGGAAGTTGGGAGTTAACTCCCTCCATAGGACAGATATGTCAATAAAAACCTGAAAGATGTTCTCCAACCTTTTTCCAGTTCTACTGAAAACAAAATAAAGGCTGTGGCTAGAGTGGGATTTTAACTTCACTTAGTAGAAAATGTTTTTTTACATAGTAGATAAGCACATGAGTAGTATAAACAGATGTCAGGGTTATTCCACTTAGTCATGAATTTCTTCTTGCCAAGCTGACATATTGGATACATATATATTTTTTTCATCTAGATAATGAGTTTTAACCCACAAGATCTTAGGAGGAGGCTGTGGATTATTATCCCTGGAGAGGAGGGGTTGGATTATGGAGGAGTGGCAAGGTAATATCTTTGTGTTTTGCACATGCATGTAATATAGGTAGATATTTGTGACCATGTTTCGAAAACACCCCAGCCTATCCATTTCTTCCACAGGGAGTGGTTCTTCCTTCTCTCCCATGAAGTTCTGAACCCCATGTACTGTTTGTTTGAGTATGCTGGGAAAGACAACTATTGTCTGCAGATAAACCCTGCCTCCTACATCAATCCCGATCACTTGCGCTACTTCAGGTTTATTGGAAGGTTTATTGCCATGGTAAGTCTACTGGTATTCAGCTTTATCCTCTTATCCACCTGCAAGGTGTATCTATCCTGTAGATTTTGGAAGTCCAACAAATGGACTTCATAAACAACAATTTTTCCTTTTTGTAAAAAACAAAAACAAAACATACATCAGACATGAAATAGTGAAAAAAAAATGTAGTAGATACCAATTATTTTAAGTTTAAAAGCTGTACTGTATCTTTTTTTACACGTTTTTTTTCTTTTTATATACAATTTCTTTTTCCCAGGCTTTGTTTCATGGCAAATTCATAGACACTGGTTTCTCGTTACCATTCTACAAACGTATACTAAACAAGCCGGTGGGTCTGAAGGATTTGGAATCTGTTGATCCAGAGTTTTACAATTCCCTGATCTGGATAAAGTAAGTTATAAAGTTGTATGTAAGTCCTGTACTTGGACTGCAGTTGATGTACATATGTGGAGGAAACTTTTTTTTCTTTTTTAGGCTTTGTTTTTGATCAGGCATAATTGTGCTCGACAGCTACTCTTGTTTCTGAAAATGAATTAGAGGTACTGGTATGGAAGGATTCATCACCTTCATATTGGAGTTAGAAGAAAGTAATAGACCTGACACTATCTTGTTACCATTGATAATTTGTATATGGGTTGCACATGCGTTATTTTCTTGTACTTCCCTAGAGATGGCGTGTATATATTTATATATAAAAATAAACGTATACTACAGGGAAATGCAAAGGAGAAACATGGGGGGGGGGCGCAAAGAGTCACTCCAAATTCACTGAATAAGTATAATGCCTATAACTTTGTCTCACAGACTAGCAAAGGGGAACCCAAACCAAAGTTGAGCTGATAATTGATAAAAAGATCTTGGTAGCCTACATTTGCAACAATGTGTAGGAACCCTACACTGCTTTTTAAATGCCTTTTGAAGTGTTTGTCGTTTTATATCAAGAGTCCCGACAATAGGAAGTTTAGAGCAATGATAAAGTATAATGGGAAGTATAAATACTATACATATACTGTGACAAATGGGTAAACTCATTTGCACTGGGCACCTGATTATATATATATATATATATATATATATATATATATATATATATATATATACATTATATATATATATATATATATATATTACATTCACATCAGTCCCTAACCCTCAAGGGGTGTACAATCTAAGGTCTCTAACTCACATTCATACATACACACACTAGGGCCAATTTGGACAGGAACCAATTCACCTACCAGCATGTCTTTGGAATGTGGGAGGAAACCGGAGTACCCGGAGGATACCCATGCAGGCACAGGGAGAACATGCAAACTCCAGGCAGGTGCCGCCATGGTTGGGATAGTAATAGAGTTCACAATTAACTCTAAATTGATGATGTATAAGGACTTTGAAGCATTGCCTATGTACAATCTTAGGTACTGTACATTATTGCGGTTATACAGCCATGCTCAATTTTAAGGTTTGACCTGTGTGGTATCTATTTACTCTGCATAACCTAATCTCTAAAGATTTAACCATATATATATATATATATATATATATATATATATATATATATATATATATATATATATATATATATATATATTATATACTCCTTTTTTTTTTTTTTTTTTTTCTTTTTTTTTTTGTGTGATGCACGTACCAAAGTGCTTGCATTTACAGGTTCAGGGTTCGGTTTGCATCATTTCTTTGTGTCTGTGCTACCTTTGCCAAGTCAACCTGGGTGCATGAGCAACAGAAGCCGATTGAAGCAGTTCCAGGTTCAAAGCAAAACCTCTCAGAAGCACCTGAACGTATATTGCATTTAACACACTTCTGACTTTGAAGCCTATAAAATAAGCCTGGACTCATAAAGCGGCCTGTTCAGCCATTCAATGAATTCCTGCCTACAATACCTATATTAAAGCCCAGTTGAACATTTGGTTCAGATCAGCTAAATACATTCCAGGTGCATCCAGACAAATATGTTCAAAATCTTCCGTTTTTTTTTGTTTTGTTTTCAAAGTGGCCACAGCCTTTTGTAGAAAAACTTGTCCCATGTCAGCAGCAGTATGGGGCCTTGCACTCTGCACAGGTACAAGATGCCCCCTGCTAAGGTCAAAGCTCAAGCTCTCCATTGAGGAGGGAGTAATGAGTTTTGCTGATTGCAGAGCTGTAGGACTAACACGGCACAGGGGGTATATTGGACTTCTGCAGATATACCACTGCTTCCACACAGAGAGCAAGGGTCCTCGGCAGCACACTGACAGGGACAGGCTTTTCTGCTCAAGCTATAGCTGATTTAGATAAAAAATGTAAGACATTGATCATCTTTTGTTTTGATGAACCGTGAAATATATTTAGCTGATGGAACTTTGTTTAAATTTGGCCTTAACAGTTTAACACGATGTTTCATATAAGGAAAGCTGAGTGATGGCTTTCATACTGAGAGCTGAAAGCCAACATTCTGCGTTGCTAGTAGCTCTAAAATGCGACTGTCCCCAACAGCTCAGATCCTACTATAGAGATCCCAATATGAGTGGTCACCAGTCAGTGCAGGCAGGAGGCTTCATTGAAAAAAACTAAAAATACCTTTTAGCTTTGCAAATTAGTAATCGCTTTATTGTTAAGTTAACTCTCACATACTACAGACACTGTTAAATTGTCTGGGGCATCTAGGCATCAGTGAGCTCTGGCTGACAAAGGGTTTAAACTATATATATATATATATATATATATATATATATACAGTTGTGACCAAAATTATTCAACCCCCAATGCTGTAAAGGGTTTAGGGACTATAGTGTACATTTGGAATTGTATTCAGAATCAAATCCTACAAGGACGTTGTAACTACCCAAATGCAACTAAAATGACATCAATTGTTTATGTAATACAGTAGTAAATGGTTCTTATGTGGTTTCTTCATTGCCACAATTATTCAACCCCTTAAAGACTACCACTCTGAAGAACAGAGGTTCATACAGGTGCTTTCCATCAGGTATTGAAAACACCTGTGGATGTCACCGAGCAGCAATCAAGCATAATAAGCACCAATTAGGCAGCTTTAAAATGACTGTGATACTCAGCTCCTTCTAGACATTTACTGGTGTGGTTACAAACATGGTGAAGGCAAGAGAATGGTCCAGGAAGACAAGAGAAGAGGTGATTTCTCTTCACAGGAAGGGCAATGGCTATAAGAAGATTGCAAAGATGTTAAACATACCAAGAGACACCTTAGGAAGCATCATTCGCAAATTCAAGGCAAAGGGCACTGTTGAAACGCTACCTGGTCGTGGCAGAAAGAAGATGCTGACTTCGACTGCTGTGCGCTACCTGAAGCGTAGAGTGGAGAGAAGTCCCCGTGTGACTGCTGAGGAACTGAGAAAAGATTTGTCAGATGTGGGTACAGAAGTTTCAGCCCAGACAATAAGACGCACACTGCGTAATGAAGGCCTCCGTGCCAGAACTCCCAGGCGTACCCCCTTGCTGTCTCCAAAGAATAAGAAGAGTCGACTGCAGTATGCCAAAAGCCATGTGGACAAACCACAAAAGTTGTGGGATAGTGTTCTGTGGACTGATGAAACAAAATTAGAACTGTTTGGGCCCATGGATCAACGCTATGTTTGGAGGAGGAAGAACAAGGCCTATGATGAAAAGAACACCTTGCCTACTGTGAAGCATGGTGGAGGGTCAATCATGCTTTGGGGCTGTTTTGCTTCTGCAGGTACAGGGAAGCTTCAGCGTGTGCAAGGTACCATGAATTCTCTTCAGTACCAGGAGATATTGGATGGAAACGTGATGCAGTCCGTCACACACCTGAGGCTTGGGAGACGTTGGACCTTTCAACAGGACAATGATCCCAAGCATACCTCCAAGTCCACTAGAGCATGGTTGCAGAGGAAAGGCTGGAACATTTTGGAGTGGCCATCGCAGTCACCAGACTTAAATCCGATTGAGAACCTCTGGTGGGACTTAAAGAAAGCAGTTGCAGTGCGCAAGCCTAAGAATGTGACTGAACTGGAGGCCTTTGCCCATGAAGAATGGGCGAAGATACCCGTAGATCGCTGCAAGACACTTGTGTCAAGCTATGCTTCACGTTTAAAAGCTGTTATAACTGTAAAAGGATGCTGTACTAAGTACTAAGATTGAATGTCACTTGGGGTTGAATAAAACTGATAATGCTGTGAGCACAGAAAAGACATTTGTGGTTATTTCATTATAACTGTTATGTTATATTTGTCTGACCTACAAGTGCCTCTTTAATGTAAATGTAAGCAAGATGACTGAATGATCAAAAGCAATGTCAAACTGGCCAAAACACTCAATTTCAGTGGGGGTTGAATAATTTTGGTCACAACTGTATATATATATATATATATATATATATTTAAAATATTTACTATCCCTTGTTTATACTGAATTCTACCATAGATCGTGTTGGTGAAAATATTTTCTTGGTTAATGATCCTGGTGGTATTTTTCCCCAGAGAGAACAACATAGAAGAATGTGGTCTGGAGATGTACTTCTCAGTGGATAAGGAGATTCTCGGGGAAGTAAAAAGTCATGATCTCAAGCAAAATGGAAGCAACATCCAGGTGACAGAAGAGAACAAAGAGGAATATATCAGGTAGATGTTGCCATGTATAATAAAAAAAAGTTCAGTATAGTGTGTTCATGAACACATCATGTATAACTCGTATTGTATTTGCTCTCTGCAGGCTGGTGGCAGAGTGGAGACTGTCTCGAGGAGTAGAAGAACAAACTCAGGCTTTCTTCGAGGGCTTCAATGAAATTCTTCCCCAGCAGTACCTGCAATATTATTTTGATGCCAAAGAATTAGAAGTAAGGCTTGTCAGTTACAGCATAATAGCAGGGTTTGTGTGTCTAGTCACTGTGAATATCTCAATTTATTCTAATTTTTGTATATTTTAATCCACAGGTTCTTCTGTGTGGTATGCAGGAAATAGACCTAAATGACTGGCAAAGGAACACCATATACCGGCACTATACAAGGAACAGCAAACAGATTGTTTGGTTCTGGCAGGTAGGAAAGCCGTGTTTTTTTTTTAAATGGTTAAAGAATAGATATGAGTGAATTGGGTGAATCTGATGCTTGCCTCTCAAATGTAAGTTGCGCTAAGGTTTAGATGAAGCATCATGCACAGCTTCAATTTAAAACCGTACATTATCATTTGTTTGATGTATTGGACATACCTAATGTATGTTACACTAGCAAGTTTTTAGCAGCTACAGAATCAATGTCCTTCGTGTTTTTGTGTTTGGGAAAATGAACTGCAGTCAATGAGAAGTATGTGTTGCAGAAATTCAAAGTGATTTGTAGAACGTTTACTGGGTGATTGATGTGTTGCGGCATTTGGAGCAAGTGACAGAATAACATACATTACAGATTCCTAAGCCAAGATCTTAAGGGCTAGTTCACACTAGATTCAGTCCAGTGCACTTTTTTTTTTCTGCATAAAAAATGCATGCACAGTGTTTTCCATGTATACCAGTGGTCCTAGATCACACCAGTGCAGTCAGTTCCAGCCAGGTGCAGAAAAATAAGTAGGACATGCTGCACTTTTTCTGCACAGAACCATATTGGAACATGGCAAACTGCATCAAAATTGCATCGGAACTGCGTGTGTGTGTGAACTGTAAGCAAAAACGTATCCAGAATGAGTTTTTGTACTGTGAACAGACCCTTAAAGTATAAGTGACCCCCCCCCCCCCCCCCACCTTGGAAAACAAGCCATTCAGTTTAAAATAGAAAAGAAAGGCAAACCATTCACATACCCTCCCTTATCAGCTGCATAAGAAGCTGGAGGAGAAGTGGCAACACAATGATCCTACCAGTGAATGGCTGTGCAGAGGAGGGAGGGAATTTCAGCACAAGCCTGATCATTGGATCAGCTCTCAACACAGCCAGGAAACTGACCACTCTGTGCTTTCATGCCTAGTGTGGTCAGTTTTTGTTATGAAAGCAGGGGGACTGGCAGAAGGACTAGGTATTTCACACACAGAGAACAGGATACTTTTTCATACAAGTACATGGTACAGCAGAAACATTGGAAATATGACATGTTGGTTTTACATATTCTTTAACCATTTGGTAGGGCGGACAGTGTTGCAATCTAGTTAACAACCGATGATGCCCCATGTGGGGAAAACTGAGTAAAGCACACTACAGACATGATAAATTATGGTACGCATGAACTCCAAAGCCCCCTCATAATTACTTAGGGGGAAGCTCAGTAGCTGATTTAGGCAAGTAAAAAGTACACAAAAAATGTAAGCAGTAATTTGAATATTACGTTGTGCTATGTGAATAGCATGTAACAGATATAAAGTAGGTGTTATCTCAATTAGCCTGCAAAAGAGGAAATACATTTTAAGGAGTTATGTTATGCAATTGCTATTGACCATGGCACATAATCGATTTTTAGAGGCTTAGATAAAAAATGTATTTGACTACTGAAACAACTCTGTATTTTACAACAAATGTCCAGAAAGAAGAAGAAAAAAAGATTTTGAAGCTATAAATCTCTGATATAAAGTTGCTATTGCGACATGGCCCTAATCTTTCTATCACATGTCAGATTCGGAGACCATTTTATTTATCACTGATCAGATACAGCCTTGAAACATGTATTCATTTAATCAGAAACACACTTACTGAAAAAGAGATATGTGCTATAAATGGTATTTTGGTTCTTTTCTTCAACAGTTTGTGAAAGAGATTGACAATGAGAAACGCATGAGGCTTCTTCAGTTTGTTACTGGAACATGTCGGTTACCAGTTGGAGGCTTTGCAGACCTCATGGGTATGTAACTGAGCAGTAGTGAGGTGAAAAATCTAACTGCCAAACCTGTACAGTATATTCTAAAATACACTGAATACACTTACTAAATGACCTTGACTTTCTTTCTGTGTGCTAGAATCAATAGCACCCTTTTTGCACCCTTACATGCCAAAGCCAGCAATATCTTTAGCCCTGCTGCTCACCATTCCCCTTGGATGGCTCATTGCTCACACTTGTAGTAGCAAGGCCACCCCTGGATTGGCGTGGTGACACTGACACATAAAGCATACGTCATCAGCAGCTTAAAAACTGAAGAGATAATTTTGAGATCTGTCACATTTGGCAATTATTATTAAATAGTAAAGTCCTATGCTGTTTTATCTTTACGTCAAGTTGTTTTAAAGTGTTACTAAACCCCCAACAGTAAAATCAGTCTGTATATGCAGAAAGCATGCTTGTTATACTCCACTGTAGAACCTAAGGGTTAATCCTCTGCATTGTGTAAAAAGGCTGTTTGATCCTGACTTCTCTGCCCCTTCTCTCATTCAAATGTCCAAGGTGTTTAGCAGTTTATATTTACTGAAATAATTGCATTTCCATGCAGTGGCATCCCTAGGCAGTTGCCGGGGGCTGACACCGGACCCGCTACACAAAAAGGTAAGTTGTAAAGCAAGCCGACGATCCTTGCAGGATGGATCAGATCTGCGGATTATGCTCTCCGCAGATCCGATCCATTCTGCGGGGATCATCGGAGGGGGTGTCGCCAAGTGTTATCGCATCGGGTGACACCAACCCTAGGGACGCCCGTTTCCGTGTACTGTGGGAGACCAGATAGATTGAATGCAGGGTCCTGAGTTTAGTAACACTTTAATGTGTCTATACTGATCTTTATATGGCTTAACCTACTTTAAAACAACAATTTTTAAACGCACGAAAATGTGATCTGGGATGCATTACAAACAATAAAAATCCTTTGTGGTTAGCATCTGTCTTGATAACTGCTGCTTATGTCTTCCATCTTTAGGGAGCAATGGTCCTCAAAAATTCTGCATTGAGAAGGTTGGGAAAGAAAACTGGCTGCCCAGGAGTCACACATGGTAAATACCAATGGACCGTACTAGTCTAAACTGGTTTTAAAGTGCACCTGTTATTGAAAAACTATGTGGGCTACCTTTGCTGGCTTCCTTGCAAATATGCTAGTTTTTGCTGAGAGAGAATAGGTTTTGTAAATTTGAGCCCTATTCAGGGCCTATTCAGAGAGCAGCAGTCCAGATCTCCAGAGTGCTGCGTACTTAGGGAGTTTTAACAAAGGCTGCAGCGCCATAGCACCATCAAATAATAGAATAATCGCAATAATTAAAAAAAAAAAAAAAGCAAGGTTCAATTAGAATTAAAAAAAAAAAAAAGTACTCTCCCCTACCCTTTCTCCTTTCCTTACCCTCCTTGTCCCCTATACCCTCTTTCTACTCTACTCTTCACTCTTTTGCTCTCCATTTTCGTCTTTTCATCTTTTTTGGAAGAGTCACTTTGAGACATGAAACTATTGGGTGTTTATTTTGCTCACTATGCTTCTCAGAGACACCTTAGTTTACTTCAATGAACACTGGAACCCTACTTGCTTAATGGTTTGCTGACCCTTTGGTCACACATATGAGGACATGCATATCTGTTTATTTTGTCTTTGTGTACTTCACATGTTATAGTAGCACGTTATGTAACTGTGTTGATACTTCCTCAGAATTGTATTCGCATACCCGTTATATACTGTGCCAACACGGTTTTATGTCGCTGTGATTTATTTATATATAGAGAGAGACAGACAGACAGATATAGACAGATAGATGGAGAGGGAGAGAGGGGGGGGGGGGGGGGGGGGCGGGGGGGGGGGGGGGGGGGGGTGGCCGGTGGGGGGGCGGGGGGGGGAGGGGGGGGGCGGGGGGGGGGGGGGAGAGGGGGAGATGGAGAGGGAGAGATATAGATATGGAGAGAGAGAGATCTAGATATAGAGAGAGAGATATAGATATGGAGACAGAGAGAGATATAGAGAGAGAGAGAGAGATCTGTGTAAATATTTTTTGTTTCTATGGTTGTAAATTACTTTACTTTATAATCTAAATAGTAGAGAAAAACAAAAGATTTCATCTTCTATTTTCTTTTCTTTTTTTTTTTTTTTTTTTTTTTTTTTTTTTAGTTTCAACCGCCTGGACCTCCCACCTTACAAAAGCTTTGAGCAGTTGAAAGAGAAGCTACTGTTTGCAATAGAGGAGACGGAAGGATTCGGACAGGAATGAGAAGCCCTCCACATATCCTCCAGGCACAATGCTGCAAGTGTGAACACTGCTGATTCCCGTCCCTGGCCTCTTTCCACCTCTCCGAGCCACCATCATAATTTAATCTGTTTCAACTACATCTTCCCACCCACCTCCTTTCTAGTGTAAACTTCACACACTTCTCATACAGCGAGACGTGAGACATGACCTGTGCATTAGAAGAGACAAGTCCACCAATGTGTAGATGTAGCAGAGTTTTAGGCAGTCTTCTCATACAGCGAGACGCGAGACATGACCTGTGCATTAGAAGAGACAAGTCCACCAATGTGTAGATGTAGCGGAGTTTTAAGCAGTCTTCCAGCCATGCCACGATTTCCTCCTGTGAAAAGGCTCTTTTCACATTGACAAAGTTACGCCACAGGACACTCACAGCCCACTGAGCTGTATATAGCCATATTTATTATGCACTACGGGAAGGTGTCCTGTGGAGTAATATGAGATGGCAAATCATACCAAAATCAGCACAGAAGATCTCCCCTGATAACTAGGGAAGGTGTCTTCTCATCTACAGAAGTGTGCGGCTTCCCCTCTAGGTTGTACATGGAGCCAACGGATGGTGCTTCCTGTGAGTCAGCTTGAGCTGATAACAAATGTTGGCCATAATCAGTGTAAGATAAAAATGTAC